TTGGCCTTTGGAATGGGTTGCCTTCAGATGTTGTAGAGGCAGTAAATTTAAGTGGGTTTAAGAAAAAGCTTGTAAGTACATGATTTACTATTATTTTTGTTTAACCATTTTAATTTAGTTTAGAGGACTGAACAGCCGAAATGGACCAATAGGTCCCATGTTGTCCCAAAACGTTATGTTATATGATCCTGATTGTCAGAGCATTTTCATGTTACTCCTAGAAATGAAGTTATTGTTTATTTTTTATCTTTATATATATATATATTAGTTTCATAATTTATTAAACAGAAAATTATGTCCCGTGATTTGCATAAAGGAATAACGTATTATAACGTAAAATATATGTATATTGTACAGTAATTTCCAAGACTTTTTATGTAGCTGGGGTTTTTCTGATGTGCATTAAATCATGTTTTTATTTAATTCCATTCATTATTCAGTTTTTTATTAGACTAATAGTTGTAATTTATCAGCGGACTATTTTTTTTTTTGTAAAAATGTAATTATGATAATAATTTACGAGTCTTGCTGTTTTCTGAGTTTACCTTGAAACTGAATAATGCAACATATAATTAAATGTCAAGTTAAAACTTCAGTATCATTTTTAGTAACTAAAAAGCATAAAATTACATAGTTCAAATGCAGCAAAACACGAGACAACAATCTCGTTTAATGTCCATGACCTGGAAAGAAAACAATAACCTATATAGATATATTATGTTTCTTTCTGCTACGTTGGAGTACCAGCCTATTCAGTTAGATATTGCATAATGCTCTCAAGCTTCACCCTTCGTGCAAGTACAATAAACTTCTGGTCCCTAGCTAGAATGTGGTGAAAGAAGATTACCAAATCGTTCTATAGGCCAGTGGTGTCCAATTGGCTTCCGTCCGATCCCATCCAGTCTTTCAGGCTTAGTTTGTTTAATCGTTGTTGTCTATTACTGTAATACCCGGCCAGGCATGTCCAGGTGGTTAGGGCGTTCGACTCGCAATCTGTGGGTTGCGGGTTCGAATCCCCGTTCCACCAAAATGCTCGCCCTTTCAGCCGTGGGGACGTTATAATGTGACAGTCAATCCCACTATTCGTTGGTAAAAAAGTAGCTCAAGAGTTGGCGGTGAGTGGTGATGACTAGCTGCCTTTCCTCTAGTCTTACACTGCTTTCTGCAGGGTATTTCTAACTTTACAGTTGTTTGTATTATCATTTTTTTTTCTTATTAACATAATGATTGGGAATTTGGAGAAAGTCAGGCAACGAATACACAGTTTTCGGTATTTAATAAGTGGGTTTATTTTTGTCACAATTACGTTTAAGATGTACTTCCTGCACTTTGTGTGGAAGCTGACAACACTGAAGATAAAGAGCCTAATATCATCTACCTTACAAAACAAACCTATTGATAACAAGTAAGTGTTGAGACAGTGGGTAAATAGTGGTACATCATCTTTTTTCTTTGTCAATTTTTTTTTTCATAAACATGCTAAATGATTTTTAGTAACATGTTCGAATACTATTTAATAATAGACTAGCGGAAAAGAGGAAGTGTGTATTGAGAATTTCCTCTGGGTTAAAAAAAATCAACTCTAAAAATAACGTGATAAGGACTTTAGCTTCTTTCTTCAAACCTAATTTTCTAAAATGAATAGTTTAATAGCTGTTATATGTACATGTGTGTGTATAAGATACTAATGGTACTTACCTACCTTCACAGCTAGTAGATCAATTGTGGCCTCGTTGTTAGCGTGCCTAGGCTATTATGGTTTATGGTTCGCGACCCGTTGGCGCAAAAACACACTTTAGGGTAGTGAGTGTGACGGTCAATTCCCATTATTTGGACTGATAAGAGTTGGCTAAGGATGCTGTTGACTAGGTGTATAACTTCAAAATTAGGAACAACTGTGTGAAGATAGTTTTTTGTTTAGCTTTTCCCAAAAATTCTGCAACAAACAACTTAAGCTTTATGGCTGGTTGCATTTGAACTCCTTAAGAACATTAAACTGTTCATGCAGTGGTATTTTCAGGCTATAGTAATTTCCCCCAGAGTAGTCACTTAGGGCACGCTAAATGTAGGTTCGAATGATCCCTAGAAAGAAACAAAGTTAAGATGTGTTTATTCAATACCCAAATTGAATTGAAAGAAAATACTGAAATTTCAAAACAAAACATTAAATATTAACAAAGGAAGTAGAGAGAAGAGAGCGTTGTCCTATATCACAGTGTGTTTATATGATTCTGTCTTCTGGTTGTTCAGTGGTAAGCTTAAGGGCTTATAACACTAAACAGCACAGAACAGATGTCCATTTCATGCAAATTTGTGCTTAGCGATAAAAAGCAAAGGTTTATATAACGATGTATTATCTAAGTGTTTTGAATGTTTAACTTTCTTAACAACAATTACAGGAATAATACTTTAGTAAAATTGGTGCAGTATTTTAATGTGAATTTTAATCCGAATGTGAAAATTTCAATGAATATTTAGAAGAACACAAGAATATGTATTTCATTAACAACTTTATTGTCCAGTATTTCGAGATCACCTTACTGATGACGATTGATTTACGTCTTCTTTCAACTGTTGAAGGTAAGTACTTGACTCTGCGTGTCAGAAGGTCCAGGTTTATACCGTGATACTCCTGAATATGCTCCACACTTTCAGTTGTGAGTGATTTAGAAGAGAGATATTTAATCCAATTTATATTCGATTAAATATCCTTGGGATGGTGGGTGCTATTGACTGACTCTGTTGTCTCTGTTTAATAGTTCAAAATTACTGACGGCTACACCTTAAGTCTATAGGGATCTCTGACTTAGGTCACGTTACTTAGAAAGTCCCACTTAGGTTCAAAATATCAATACTTATTTTAGTCTAAACTTTTCAATATATGTATATACATATAGTTTATTTATCTTGTCAGTAATGAGTTACAGTAGCGGCACCATTTGTGAAACAGACAAATTAACAAAACACTTTTACTTACTTCTTCCAGCCATTAATTCTGTTAATCACTGGGCGTGTGTGTTCACAAATAGCCACTTGACACCAAACATCATAGAACGTTACATCTCCACTTTCTGGATATCCAGTAAAGTTGTTTCAAATTGAACAAAATATTATAATTGAGTGGAACATTCTTATTAATAAGTTCGTTTCATTAAAGTTGTTTAAGGAAACCATGCTTTACTTGTTAAACAGTATAACTTCATGGCCTTATAATTGTTGTATGTATATATATAGATGCAACGTGTTTTTCAAGTTTACGGATTAATTGTTTCATTTATAATTTTTCTCTGTTCTTTTATCCTGCAATCACTTGGAGCATTTTAATTACCCTAATAATAAGAACCAAGCAGTTAAAGTGCCTGTACTGTGAATTCGAAGATACAAGATTCGCGACTCATTACTGCTCCACGCTTTTGGACAGTGGATGTATTATAAGAATGACGGTCAAATTTCATTTTCCAATTAGACAAAAGTAGCCCAAGAATTGAGGCTGGGCGAGGTTGATTAGCTTCTTTTCTCTAATCTATCAGTTCATAATTAGGGATAGATATGCAATGATAGCTCTCGTATAGCTTTATGCGAAATAATGAAACAAACAGACATTACTAGCATAGCTTCATAACGTGTTTTCCTCGTGTCTGTGTGTTTCAAGATTAATCTAAAAAAAGAAATGAAAATTCAACACCTTTTGAGTTCGTGGCAAGAATGGAGTAAGGATGTTGAAATATATTTTAGTTAGATCACGTTGTTCATTTGTATCTGAAGCTGAGTTACTCTGATATTTCAACAAATGTATTCAGATGGTCACACGACTCGACTGGAGTGTTATACCTATCTGGAATTCCTACTGTATTATACACCAGGGTAGGTAACATTTGTATAAAACATGTATAGAACAGCTGCACAAATTATTTTCAGATCTCTGCTAAGCATTATTTGCTTATTTTCAGCAAATCAAAAGGTTCCAACTTTGACCTGTGATGCTACTGATTACCTTTTGTACATTCAGCTGTGATTATTGGTGCTATTAGACTCGTGGAACCCCTGGATCAAAATTAGATTGGAACCCTTAACTATTATTAATTAATATGGGGGCTCCGGAAACTTGGGTAAAGAGAACTTGTGGGCCCGTGGACTTGATCCAACCTGTTAGATTGGTAGTTGCGCCCATGGCTGTGACAGTTAATCGCACTCAAACAGCCCGACAGAATCCTTGTGCTTCTGACTGGTTACCCTACTGGTCAATAAGTCATAATTGTAATTTGTTATATCTGAATCTTTGATGTCTCTGGCCTACTTGTTTAACCTATGTACACATAAGGTATCATTTAGGTTGTAAATTCCAAGTCCTTTGCCAGTTTCAGTTACAAGCTTTCAGTAAAAATTGTTTGTTCTGTACACAGAAGAATTAACAGAAGCCTTTATTTATTTCAATGTTTTATAATGTAGTGTTAATATGTTTCGATGATTCAGATCATGTTTATTTTGTTTTCCTACTATTGTGGAGAGATTTTAGTGGATTAAGTAAATGTAGTTTTTACAATAAAAGTCCATGTAACTTTGTAATCAGTTACTCATCATAAAGTGCGCTAAGACTAACTTCTATTAAACTTGTATAATGTTTCTTATTTTAATCTTTATAAATATTAATGTAAAACTATAAATGTTTAACAATTTGTAACGAACCACACTAAGAAGTAATGCTAGAAAGTTGAAGGGAAATATTTTAGAATTATGAATTATTATTTTTTATATGTATGTGTTCTTAACGTGTTGTAAAATAATGAAAATCCAAGCGAGTTTTGATCTCCATCTGAAGATAGTTGAAATGGAAATTCTGAAAGCTCAAGAAAGTGCTCAATAAATATTGATGGTGGTTTAAAAACCCGATTGTCTCTATAACTGCTTTGAGTTTTGATTACTGGCTGTTGTCTCCAAATGAGTGATTATGATATATCTGATATATTCGTAAATCCATTAGTTTTATTTGTTTCTGATTAGAATCTATTGCTGATGATCTCTCAAAATCAACAATCTTTGGCTCGTGACAAATCAGATGGTAGTGAACAGTCAAGTAAAAGGTCAGAAATATCTGTTAGGAATGCTTAAAGTCAATTATCTGCACTACTTTTGACTATGATACATGAATATATACGTATGCATGCGTGTGGAACATTATTATAGGATTTCTTTTTAAATCATCCAAGTTATTTTGTATCTCATATTAGTAACATATGATTTTGGATCCAAATGCTCGGTGACAAATATACTTTTTCAAGTTTTAAAACATAACTTCTGTAAAATATAATGCAAAACAACAATCAATATAAACAATATAAATTAAGACTTTATGATAAAATACAACAGTGTTATATGTGTACATATTATTACTTTATATCAGTGGTGTATTTTCCGTGTTTTAATCAATATAAAAATATTTGAATCTCATCCATTACTAGACAAATATATAATTACTGCAGTTTTGAAAAAGCAGTGACACAAGATGTTATTTATACGAGATATAGCCATCGTTGACCTCAGTGACTGGCGAGTACTGATTTTATGTGTCGTCTATTGTGATTGGTGCGGCGAAGATAGTTCAGCCTATCAGCATGCGTTAAACACCTTGGAAGTATATCGCTTATGATTGTGGTGCAAAGTATTGTGATAAATGCCAGATGGCGCTAATTTAGTATTATTTATCATGCTAAATGCTAATATATTTTTAGTTCCGCATTTTTCATGATGATTTTGGTATATTTTGTATATGTTTTGATTATTGTTATATAAGTGTATATATATATATATATACAATATATGTAAGTGCGATACACCAAAACCACCAGCTAGGATACACCACTGCTTTATATAATCATAATTCAAGTATGCGTGAAACTTGGTCATGTATATAACGGTTTTCGAAAGCTACTTTTCAATTTTACGCATTTGTTATTCTCTTGGAATTCGACGCACTAACGATTTTTCTGAATTATCAAATTTTGTGTTTAAAATATTTTGTTCTTTTGTGTTCCACCTATACAGATGATATCCGATAACGGTTTACTAGTATATCGAACAGGATAAAATTTGGAAATCTACCAGCAAGAGAAAAGGTAAGTTATATTGATTATTTTATCAAGAAAACTTTATCCATTAAAACCGCAACAAAGAATCTGTTGTTATGTCCACCAGAGTCTGAAATGTTGGAAGTTAACTCATGTAATTTTTCGGTTTTAGATACCACGAAACGTTAAAAAACCAGCATCAGGAAATGTTCTACAGGTATTGTTACAAAATAATCATAGGCTTCATAAAGGACGAAAATAATCACACGGAAATAGTTGGACAATCACAGATGGAACAAGAACAACTTTTGTTTAAAGATTATCGCCCTTCTACAGTCTTGTTGAAGCATTTATCAGACCCAGACATTATATGTATTTTGCATTAGCTACTTTACAACAATAACATAAATTAAAACTCTCTACGGTATTTCTGAATTCACTTCTTGCTAAATATTCTCGAACAAATAGAAAACTCAGAAGGTGAAAAGAACGAACTGAAAATCAACCTTTTATTGTGAGAAATATAATGCAATAGCTTCGTTCAAATGTTTACAACTTTCCACAGAAGATGAGCCAGTTGTTGACCAACCTAACAGTTATCAAGTAGACATTCCAGTGAAACAGAATCCACTAATTAGTAGCTCGACCAGCAAATCTATGACATATCGTGACATATTCCAAAAGAAGCTGATGTATCTAGGTCTTAGAAATAAATTGCAATAAAAAAACCACGAACAGACTGCTTTCAACTTAGACAAATGTGTATATATATATCACTCTTTTATAGATAGTTTGGGGGGATTTTTCATATTAGATATTCGGTGAAATGGGCGTCAACTGCCTAATAGAAAAACAATAGTAAATATATATATATATATATATATATTGGGGACTATACACTCTAATTCAAGTGTAGAGGACGACAAGAGGTAAGTTTCCAATTCCATCCAATCATGATAGGTATTTGGATAATTCTGAAACTGGGGTGCTCGAGGATTCAGCAATCTTCCTTCACTTCGCTTCCAGCTATAGTTAATAACTGAGCGATATATATGTATACACACAAATATATACATACATTTAGATACATTCCTACATACGCACTTCATGTACACCTAAACACACACATGAATATGTACATTTTAAGAAGGGTAAAATTATCACTTGTTTTCCCGAAGTAATGGTTACTACTCGTGTTGACAGAAAAGAAGGAGGCAGTGAAGAAAGGGAGGCCCAGCAGTTGAAAAGTTAACAGAAACCCAACAAACGGCCCATATTAAACTTACAGTCCTTGAGCGAAGCGGAAATCTATAAATAATATGCATGAAATGAGATCAACAATACCAATATCCGAGAATTAAATGTGACGGAGGTACCCACTTTCACTGGTCAGGCGCCAAAAATTCTATATGGTCAGAACCCAAGATATTACGTAAAGGCTCATAAATAGAGATTAAGTGACATTGTTATACTTAATTTTCAAAATATGAAAGGCTGTAGTAAGCTAAAAAGTTGCCCATACTAACTCTCCCTGTGCACTTGCTCTCGTGAATCTTATTTCTTTGATAAGGTCTGGAAGAACTCGTCTAAGGGCCCTTGGATGTAAGAACCGAATGTGAAGTAAAGAGAAACAGTCTGTAAGCATCCACATCCTGACATAAACATATCGATAGAGGATTCAATGGGCCAATCCCATCAGGAAAGAAAGGAAGAGGACCATGAAAAAAAGAGGGGTCCTAGGATAGGGACAGACGAAGATGTGGACCCCTAAAGGGAGAGATCCATGATAAGGCACACCAAACAGCCCAATAGGACACAGAAGCCAAGTGTGAATGGTCCAATGGGCGAGAGAAACAGAGAGAGAGAAGTACGGTTTACCTGCTGAGCCATCAAAGTCCGAGGAAGAAAAGATCAATCTAGGGAGAGGAAAATATAAATGCAGCGGAAGAGGCTGCAAGACACATCTAAAGGAACAACAGTAGTCGAAGGAGAGAAGTAGAGAAAATAAGTCAGGACAGAAAGATGGTACACATCAGTAGGTTTAAACTGAGGAATTATCTACCGTTGCTGGTTGCTAGTTGATTCACTGAACGGGTTTCTATAGGATGTCTAGCATATTGATAACACAGGCCTGCAATGATAAAAATTGAGATTTGTACATTGTCTACAATAACGCATACGTTGAATCCGAAAATGATATCCATTTTTCTCCATCTCGTACAGATTTTTCACAAAATGCCATAACGCAGTACATAAAAGAAAGGCCACAACACGTGGTCTTGAGACTAAAAGACGTAGATTTCACACAAACAATCAGGATGAATGAGGATTCATATTCGTTTCACATCAATGTTCTTCTCTTTTTTTTTCAGTTCGTTTGTATTTTTGTTAACAAACATAATAATAAAAAATGTTCATTGTGGTAAACGAAATAATAATTTGATCTAAGTAAGAGTTTTTTCTTCTTCCCGACTTGTAGAAAATCCTTACGTGATAGAAAAAAATTAATATTATTTTTGAAATCTGCGTAGTTGAATTATGGAAAATCCGTTATTAAATCCAAAACAACTTTTAAGAAGTTTAAGTCCACAGGCCTGTGTAACATATGAAGCCAAAAACTCAGAAACTCGGGGTTCTCTTGTCATTCTGGGAAGTCCTTATGGATTTTAGTACAGAATATAATCTTAAGCAAAGTTTGATCAGATTTATGGTGTGAACACCTTTTCCAAGTTGACGAAGCTGGTTGTTATGCCCCAGTGGGCCTGATGAGCAAACATAGTGTGATTGGAATACTATTATTGTACAGTCTTCTAATTCTGGAAAATTCCTAAAGAACTAAATAAAGAATGCTTTGTTAAGAAATATAATAAGCCTAATAATAATAATATCATAAGAGAAATATAATTAATTATAATCATGATTTGCCAGCTTCTAAAAAATGTTCACACCATAATAATTATTATAGTAACAAATGACTTCTATAAAGTGTTATGACCACTACTACATTTGTTGTTTCCAGCCAGCCTGATGAATATAGCGAACATAGTGTGATTAGAATACCATTATAAAACACTCCTTTAATTCCTGCTAATACCTAAGGGACTAGATAAAGCATGTAATGTTAAACATATAATAAGCCTACTACTAATGTCTAAGGATAAGTGTAATTAACTAAATTAGATTTGTTCAGGTGATCATATGATGCGGTTGTTGCTCAGTAACCACTGCAGTTAGACTACCTGAAAGTTTTTGTTCTATTATTCAACATTTTAATATCATGAGCCCACATAATTAATTTGAGTATAGAGAATGTTTATTATTATTCATATTTTTATCTTGAATGACCACGTGTCTAATTTTGGAAGAAATTACGTTTTGATATTATACAACATTTTGAAGGGACCATTCGCCTAATTTTTGTTCAATAAAAATATCATTTCTCTGCAAAAAATGTGTGTCACTTTTTATTTCTAACTGAGCCCACTGCACATCTTTATATTTAAAAACCTTGTAAAACCTATTGATATTGTGACCTTTTTGGTTTCAAATAGGCATTAGAATATCACACTGATGACATCATAAATGCTTCTGTTAAAAATGAGTTTCTTTAATAGCAAAAGGCATTTAGAAAACGGTTGTTTAGATAAGCCATTAACTATTTCTGAATAAAAAATCAAATTCAACTCGTACCTTAATAACTCAACATCAGAACTCGCAGTGTACAAACAATGATGAAACCTTAAGCTCTTTACTGACTGATACAAACTCTCTTTAGCTACGTATTCATTATACGTCTATTCTTAAAAACAATTCACCTAACAAACTGTGGTTAGATGTGTCAAGATTTTATACTGTTGGTCTTAAAGAATCACCAGGTGGTTGTGCATGACAATAAAAGCACAAACAACAGGAAGACAAAGCACTTCAAACCTGCTTTACCACATGCAAACGGAATGTAATGTTTCAATTTCAAATGACAAATTTCTTATAGTGAAGAAAACTGAGGATGGGGTACAAGCGAAGTTTTGTGAGGATCTTGCGATTACTAATCTGAAACCAGCTCTAAATCACCACAGTTCAGTATACCTTCACCTCAAATTATGTTTTGTTTTCTTAAATTTAAACTATTTATTTGGCCTACAGTTAATCATTTTAAGTATATATATCTTATACGACTATTAAAAGTGTGAAAACCTTGTACTATTTAGATTCTTTGTGCACAGACAGATGTGGTGTTCTAACAAATGTTTTATCAAAGACGTGAGAGATGTTATTCATTATTTAACTTTTTGGTGTTTGTAATTAAAATTTGTATAACATGATGTATACAATAGA